CAAAACACGCTTACCTTGTGAGGAGGAGAGACAAAAAAAGTGTCCTAGAGTAAGCAGGCCATTGAAGATGTGGAGCCATTTTGACAAGCTTGTATCACAACTACTCGAAAGTTACTGTTTGATGGGGCGTATTTTGTGAATCACGCAGAAGTCTCGTCTTGATCGTCCATGCATACGTCGTGAAAGTATGTCGTCTCACCTCAAACAAAATTCTCCCCTTAAGTAGAAGACATCATGAGAGAGCAATTTAACCGAATGGAGCCTATTTCTGCACCTCGGAGAACAATACAAATATAGCTTTATTTATTTCTTTACTTATTTGCGTTTTTTTTTGGCAATAGAGTTGGCGTTTTACACGTTTTCCTGCCTATTCTCGTCAAGGTCAGATTTGATCCATTGCCCAAAGCGGGAGGCCACAAAACCATGCACAAAAACGTCTGCAAGTGTTTGCATTAAAACGCCCTTGTCTCCCAATCTTGACCACTTTGTATAAATTTTTGCAAATTCAATGCCACAAATAGTTGGACTAGTCATGTTGACATCGCGCTTAAAATCATTTGCCTTTTCCATGCCTTTTGGAGTGTCACTACGGCTTGCCGTTCGGAGAGTATTCTGTGAAGGCATACCGCGAAGGAAAGCACGCAAATCAGTAGCAGCAATAAATGCGATCGCACGGTTATCTTAATTGATGATACAAAAGTCCATTTTTGACAGTTAAAATTTGAAATACACACAAGCTGTGTTGGAGGCTGTTTGGAACTCACAAAGCACGGACTATCAACCACTTTACCAACGGCAATGAAATTCTTAAACATTTGAGTGTTTTTTTTTTTTGGATTCGATGAAGAGTTGGAAGGGCGTTAGGAACAATTGTGTCTCACATTGTGGCACAATGAAAGGCTCTAGGGGGATTGCAAACTTCTGAGGTTTCTTTATGGGCAAGGGAAGTTAACAGGCTTTGAGTAAGGCGCAAAGGTCTGGCGTTTCTCCGAGGTCATGTCCACCCGATCGAGGCAACACGACCACCGGCAATCAAACAAAAAAGGCATGTCGAGGAATTTTCTTTAGTGCACTGTATAGATTGTGTAGAAGGCTGTACTTTGGTATTGCATTAAGTAGCAGGGCATTTATGAATGGCTAAATTTGTAAACGAATGCCCAGTACATTGCCTGGGCAAAGTGCTTGGACATACGTGCGATCAAATGGTGGCACAAATGGACGATCGTTAGAGTAAATCTATGACACCTTTTAACCGTGAGAGTGATGGTGATGACGATGATGATGCCGAGGAGCACATTACACCTCACTTCTGCTCTCTACATCCCACCGAGTTGGTCAAACCGATATCTCCGTCTCATAACACTCATCTCAATGTCAACTCGACATTAGAGCTGCTGAGTCGACGAACTCATACTCGCCACGTTTGTAATTACAAATGTGTTGGAAACTTACTAACTGTGTGTAATCAAATGCGGTAGTTTGGAATTGTTGCCCATCGAAGCAGCACACCCGCCTTGTTGTTTAGGATACACTTGTACTTAGCTGTAGGATGCACCTTTCGCAGCAATTTGTCAATTTTCTCCCTCCATTGCATTGAAGGGACTTTGGTTCATTGCATTCCCATCGTAAGTACCCTAAAAATCCCCCATTTAATGCCCACAGTTATCACCTCCTTTTCCATTATTCTGGTCTTCAAAATTGATTCAGCGGGTGTGGTCGGCCTACACATTGTGACGAGACGCAGGAGTAAGAGAGTAGCAGCTTACAGCTGCCAATGAAAACAACAAGAAACGGCCATAGCCATCACTACACTAGCACATTGTGGAATTAAGTACCCTCTGGTGCTGCATTCTAGTGTTCTTTTCTTCCCCAACCTCCCTGTGGACATTTTTGCGTAGGCTTGATAATCTATCTAATCGTGCCACAAACTCTGGTGCCAAGATAGTTTTGGCATCAATTGGTGGAGAGTTTTATTTAAAGCTACCGGTGCAGTGGGTACGGAAAAAAAGGGTGCTATAAGAAGGGAACGCGCGTGCGAAAGTAATCTGAAATCCATCTTCTGATGTCTCCAACATTTGCGAAAATGGAGGTCTTCCAAGGGGAGGGGTGACAGAGTCACCAAAGATGGGTGTACCAAGCCCGCCGCAGTTTGTCTCTGTGATGCTCCGAAAGGATTGCGAATGAGATTTCAATGCGAGATAATTGTCGTCCAGAAGCCCTGAAGCCTCGTATAGATTAAGCAGACTGGAGCATCGCAGAGTGTGCCAGTTAGGTTGTACCAACGGGTTCGGCTCAATGCAAGGCAAAGAACCAACAAAGTCACTTTGACAGAGAGGTCATGAGAAGTCGCAATCCGTACAGACCCACCTAAGCGTGTCTGTATAAACAAAACACTTACAGTGCATATGTTTTTTTTGTAAAAAACGCTTCAATTTACGCAGTTAACAATTTTTAATTTCACAGCCTACGCACTAGGCGGACTAGAAAGTGCGTGATGATTTCGCAAATCTACCCTCTTTTAAGTGCGGCTCCTTTGTACTCTTTGTCTCTCACCCATTACCGCAATTTGGATGGAAATTGATTTAAAAAGAAAAATAAGATAATTAGCAGATTTTGGCGGTTAATGTGCTTATGCAGGAGACGTGGAAGATCGTGTAGTCCTGGTAATCGGAGGGGGGCTGTACATGTCTCACTTAAAGTGTAGAATCGCGTAAGATCTGCTCAAAGCCATGAGTAAGCACTGATTTTATGTGGATTGGAGGAGGAAGGGTTGGAAGAATATTCAACAAGCATTTGAAGCACAGAAAGACAGTTGCTTTTGCCTCTCTGGTAGAAGAAGGTGGACTCTTTAGAACACCAGTCAGCTCGATCATCCCATTTTGCCCATTCGAAGCTCTTTCTCCTTTAAGTAAATGTGAGACACACATTACCAGGTAAATCATGGAGAGTTAAAATGCACAATTGTTTTTTACCGTTCTCTAAGTTGCCATCAACCATCGGATAATGCTTATGGAGAGCGATGAAGTCTTGGTGGATCGCGTCACTAAATCGGAAGTAGATCTGCAGAAGCTGAAGGACTTCAGTGGATGAGGAGGAGGAAAGAAAGGGCAGTGTGCTGCTGCCTACACATAGCTTAATATGCCTTGACCCCCAAATCCTGTGTCCATCTTCGCTTTACTGACGTTTAGACTCTTCTTTACTCATTGCTCATTAACTTCTCGGTGTTAACCAATTTCTGACAAAAATCCGGTTTGTAAGTAGTTGAACCGATTTAAGTAGCATGTACTCCATTTGCTAGATACGATAATTGGAGGGCTATAATTTGGTTTTCATCACACCTTTGTCTATCTTTGGCCTCGACTATTGCCTTCCGCCTGACTCTTTAATACATAGAGCAGGTGTCGCCTACGTTACTGCCTAGAACCAGTTTATCAACATAGTGTCGTCGCCCCGCTTTAGGCCAAATTAGCAATAAGATGGTCACAAAATGCGAAAAAATGTGGGATGGCAAAGTCAAATGAGTGAAGATACACTCTTGCCGACATCAGAAATCGCCGTGACATTGACAGTTGAGAGTGTTTCTGCCCACGACACTTGCAGATGATTTGCATATGTCCCAACCTCACTCTCAATTAGTAAATGGTGATGCAAAAACAGGAGCAACCAACACATTCACTCTCACCTCCTTTACACCCTTACACAATCAAGTACATCACAACAATTTTCTCGTATGCAAAATCACATTTGCAAAACTCAAAAGGGAGGAGGCTATCTCACACTAACTGCATCTATCTTTGAGTGAATCATCATCGGAGTTGCATTATTTACTTAATCCATTTCCTAGCGGTACGTTCCGCCACCGCGCCTTCGCCAAACACTTGACAGCAAACGTTACGAGAGGTGTCTGCAGCTTTTTGGAGGTGGATTATGCTCGACGCGTAAAGCAAACAAGCTCACATCACATCCATTTGACCCATTCAACCAAACACCAGTTTAGGAGACAATAAAGATTACTGTAAAGACAGAGTTGCACTTGAAGACAATGACATACCTTTACCTTTATATGAAAAATTGCAATTTTTTAATTATATGTTGCCTTGATAATGTAGACAGAAACCCGACGCAAACTCCCCGCCAGAGAGACTCCGCAGCGCTCCTGAGACTTAGCCTTACCCTGACGCTGGTTTGACCGCACAGAAGTTCACACTTTTCTTCAAGCCTAATTGCAACTATCCCTTCAAATGCAATGAAGTTATCAAATTTGAGACCAAATTAATAGGACCAAAAGAAATGGTTGCATAAGTTGCTGGAGGATTAATTCGTCTGTCCAACAGCTCGGACACAGAGTTGCATTGTTTTTGTATTTGTTGATAAATAACGTCACCGCGGGGACTACGCCGATGTGACATTATGCTTGAATTCCAGGCACGAAGTGAAGGACTTTTTGCAACTCGTCTCACCGCACAGCATGTAGCCACCTCTCCTGCCTATTTGCTCCGCCTTATAGCCTTAACTTTGTGGCCGCGAACCTCACGTTGCTCGCAGAGCACTGCCATAACGGCAATCCTACATTTCAACGAAAATTGGCCCTATCAACGCTCTGGTCTTTGATGGGTGAATTGGTTGGATTCTGTTATGACGCGTCTCTGTCAAAAAACCTTAGGCACTCACTGCAATGAATCTACACACAGGCCAAACTTCTACTATTCTTGTGTCCATGACCTATCAGAAATCTGAATGTTTTGAATGGATCTGTCTATACGCCTTCGAAGGCAAATCAGACCTCCTGGGACAAATAACTCTCAAAGCAGAAAGTTCGCAATTGCCTTCAGCTGCATCTAAGAATTAAGCTTGACAATCGTTCTTTTGCAAAAATTCAATAGCACACCGATTGAATAAACAACAAAAGGGGAACAGGGTGACGGAGAGTAAAATCAACATAATCACAGCCGATTAAGAAATGAACAGGGAGGAGGGAAATAAGGTTTGAGACAGCGTTATCACTTTGAGGCTGCCATAGACTCAGGAAACTCGTTGAACAGCGACACCTCCAACACCTGGTTTGTGAACCAAGCACCTTCGTCGATAACTTCCCCGGATGTCGTCGGGACAGCTCGCTTTTCACCGAGGCTAAAAAAAGTGGACGGAGGTCCAAGTAAATCCGGATGATTCAATCATGCCGAGACTCGTCCATATCTGAGTGGATGATAAAGTGAGAGGACGAAGAAAGGAACCTAATGGAGGTGCATTACAGCAACTACATTATTGCGATTTACTTTATCAATAAAGGACAAATAAAATTTGACACAATCGTGTTTGCTGCAACACAGATAATGAAAACAGTCAGAGCTGCCAACGAAGCTGAAGTTCTCGCCTTCGCGATGCAATCACTTCAGCTATGCCAACTGCTCCTGCAGCGCACCTCAGTGCTTTGAGGTGCCCAAAGTGTTTGGCCTTTTGATTATTCCAAGTTGAGTCCAAAGTGTTAAGACTTCCATAAAAAAACTTGTAAACACCCGCAACTATTTCTAGGACTTTCACTTCCAAATTTGCCCAATCAATCACACTACACTAAAATAATAAAAGCTAAAAAAAAATTTCCTCTTCTGGGTCGATTCCAAGTGTATCCACATATGCGAACAGGGGTGAACGACGAACAAGGCAGTAACGAAAACGTGAAAGATGCGAATTAACGATGTCTCCTTTTTAAACAAATCAAAGTACAATGTAACATTGAAGGTCACCAGGGCAGAGTACCTGTGATGGCCACAAATTTGTTCCCATCAAATAAAACTGTCCCATTTTCATTAATATCGATAGGGGAGAACAATTTGTCTACTCTTTTTTTGTTCTTATAATGTTAGTAAAGGGAGTTGGATGTGAAAGAGTGAGGAGTGATAAGTTACCTTCTAAAGAAGAGCTCAAGAGGCTCAAACGTGGTCACGCTCTTGGTGGAGAGGATGAAGTAGTAAGCATTTGTCATTGACAGCAATTGAGTGGTGTAAATTTGGTTTTCATTTTGGTAGATCTGTAAAAGAAGCAAATGAGTAGGATTAAATGTTAGCATTCCTGCAATAACAACAACAACAACAAATCTACGTGAGGATCCTCTGCCATTAATACTTTCCCAGTCACCCTAAAAGAAGACTTTGTTCCCACGAAATGCATAAGACCAACAAAAATGGCTAAACCCGAGAATCCTCACATTGTAGCACAGATTTGGCATGCGATTTCATCCTCTGCATTGTGGTGGTGAACAGATAAGAAGGTTCGTGGGCGCCATCCAGAACAGAGCAGCGGACAACACTCGCCTTAATGGTTTCCACCACTACGGAATGTATTCTTCTAGTTCCTTTCAACCAGTTAATGAGTGCTTTTGTAAGTTTCCACAACATTGTAACCAGGAAATAGTTTAAATGTGCATTGATAAAAAACACCACACCTGATCCTAACGATCACCCTTGTTAAAACCAGTGTCACACCAAGCCCAGACGCTTCAAGCACCACCAGTCCCTTTTTAGTAATAGCAAAAAAAAAGAATCTAAATCCATTCTATCTGCCTAGAAAGGCTGTAAGTGACACACAGAACGCATCATCCTTCAGCAAAACCATCGCGCCTTCTAGCAATGTCATCAAAGTGAAGTGACAACCTTCCTTCGCAAATTGTGAGTTATTTCACAGACAAGGCCTTATAAAGCGACGCGACACAGTGTTCGAAAGTCATCATCGTCAGCATGTACTCAATCCTCCTCGATGTCCGGTACAAAATTTTAAGTGGCGCTATAAAATTAGGGAAGATGAGGAAACGAGACAGACCACTCTGCTATCCACAAAGAAGGTCAACTAAAACCATAGTAAAAATACAAAAAAAGGAATCACCTTTCAGTGAATTATCAACGTGGTAGGATGGGGATCTTGAAGAAAGAGCAGTGAAAGACTTCACAAAATGTGTACTTTAGACTGAAGATTAATGGATCGAACCAACTCCCTTAGGGACGGGTGCCTAGGTCCTTGTAAATTAAAAGTGTTCAAGTCAAATTGGAAAGTTTTATTTTAAAGACAAAAAGGAAACTGTCGTAGCGGTATTGAACGCAGTGCTGAGTGCCAGGTTGGTCAGTTCCGTACCAACGTCCTTAGTCAAACGACGATGGAATGAGTATGTACAAGCAATAGCAGATGACACTGAAGGAACCCCTACCAGCACAGGCGCTACATTCGAGTTTGCCCAAAATGTACTCACAGGCTATGATATGTTTAGCGGTGAGAAGTTTGAATGACACACACGGTTCTGAGGCGATCTTACATCTCCACGGCATTAAGGATCGCAATTGTGGCGACACTTATTGCACCTAGTTTACAATCTCCAGAGGCATTTCTGAAACCACGCGAAAAGCTCAACTACTCCCGACGTGCTAACCATCACACATAGCCTGCCAAGCTCTTAAACGATGGAATGAAAATAATGGATGAGTCCATAATGACTTGGGATGGCACATGCACACAGATAAACCCTTCCATTCTCAAGTCAGCTTCTACTTATCATTTGAGCAAAAAAGTTTCAGCTGGGCTTGTGTGCCCTTCGAAGCCGGATGGAAGGTTTTAGCCACAATGATGAACAATGGAAAAATCCAGAGACAACTCGTGAAAGGTATTGCTAAATGAGGGACTATGAAAGGTGACAGGAGATATGGAAAAACTAATTGTCAAAAAAAAGTGGAAAAAAAAGGTTGTGATGCTTCAGGCATCGTGTGTAAATGTGCCGGATAGAAATGAATTCACATGCATCGCCAAGGATGCTCAGTTCTTTCCTATTGAGCCAACCGTAAGCCAAGGATGGAAAACATTTATGATGTTCAATGGAATACAATAACATCCATGTAGAGTAGGGCAGGAAAACTGTAAAAATGACTTGTCAATGCGAATGTCATCCTTCGTGTTTGCCTTGACCTCAGTAATGTATGCGCCAGGCGCGTGACCAAGCAACTTTCCAATTGTGACCGAGCAGAAGGTTGAGCCGAAATGTACCGAGACAGAAAGGCTGAGCCTTTTCCGCTTTTCATTTTAAATTAATCTCTTCAAAATGCTAAGGGAAAAGTACTCACTGAGGTTAAACCACACGAGATTTGACTCATGAGAGGTTGGAAAGTACCGTTTGATTGGCTTCCTTCCTCCTCCACCTCTGTAGCAGACCCCTCATCTATTCGACGGCAAACAAACACCCATCGATGGCTGTGAAGAAGACGAAATTACGGTGAGATACCTTCATAGGACTTTGAATATAATAAAAAAGCAAGTTGGATTAAGTGAGAATCGTAACAAATATAAGCTTCAGAGTTTCAAAAAACCACATAAATCAAAGTTAAAAGTAAAAAACACCTAAAGTACATCAACTACTTAACCCAACAAAGGCCTGGGGGGTCAGTAAAGCCCTGCTAATCCTCTTTAGCGGGTAAAGCGTATCAATACAAACAACTTCGGCTTTGACACCAGAATCGTGCTAGTGGATGATAGTCAGCTGTCAGTCTGAGTACTTCGGATGGGCAGGAAGTGAAACACTTTGGTGACGTCTGTGGGCACAGGCCAATTGACAAGACAAATATCTCCTGTAAGAACGAGTGAAATATAAACTGTCCACCTCTCTGAGATGGAAGTCTTCTCAAGACCTCCACACTGTGAGAAGGGACATTAAACTTGGGAAAAATTGAGGTCCAAGTCCGTTTCATTCCTTCGAATGAAATAAGTCGTTTCGATTATCGTTGTTAAATATGTAGGTTTTACTGGCGTCAATGTTCACACGAAAATAAAGAAGGTTTCAAGTAATGATAGGAAAACAATGGGTAGGCATTGACATTCCACAAAAAAGCCGAATACTTGTACGGTAATCATGATTTCTTAGCTGCCGTTGCGCTTCGTTCTCAGTCTGTAGCCTCGGCAGCCATTTCTTTGAATAGGCAGCAATTGTGCGAGGCTTCTGATTGACACACGCTATCACAAAATAGAGCATTTGATGAATTGTTCTATTCAAAGTGAACAAAACTATCAAGGAAGTTTTCGGTTTATGACAGATGACAAATTTGCCAGGTTGCCCTAAGATGGTGAAGAGGTAAATTGGACAAAATTAATGTCAAAACTGCACCCTGGAGATTGGTTAAACATTGAAGGAAGGATAGTGTTATGTTTTGTAGGTTTAATCACGCGACCTCAAATGTTTGAAATTGGACTTACAAGAGAAGTTGGGGGATAGCGGATTCGGGAAGTAGAAGGATTGTGGCGAGGAGTTTGCATGCAGACAGAAGAAGGGTTAATTGTGCTTGGGGCAGTTTCTGCAGATCGTTGAAGCTCAACGCCGGGTGCTTTTTGGACCTGCATCAATGGCAAAAAATTAAGTTGATTTGCTAGCCACCAAAGTTGTTATGATGATAATAAAAGCTCACCCGCCGTTGCATCGCTCTGCAAATATCCGGAATACACGCACCTGTAAAAGCACAAAGTCATGTGTTTTATTCTTGGACAGTACAAACTCGGTTGAGTGAGGTCGACCAGGGAAAAAATTTACAGTTCACACATCTTCCACACCAATAATCTTGCAAGTTCCAAATCGACCTTGAAGTTGAGTCTTAAACATCTCGTTTTGCAACACTCTTAACTGCTTTGATTACCTTTATGCATTCCATGGTCAATCCAAGGCCACCTCAAACACTAAACCGATTTCGCACGTCATAAGCAGTTGTGTGAAACGGCTCTCGCTATAAGCAAAAGATACACGATTTCTACCCTAAAAAGACTCACCAATTCTGGAATGACAATGAACCATAGTGACGCAAGGGAGTCTGCTGAAATCCTCGCAATGAGGACACGAGCACAGAGAAAGATTTGCGTAAGAATAGGCACGTTCACATCTGTTATCGCACGAAGGTTATCAGTTAGCCGTTCTACAGAAGGGAAAAAAAGTTGTCTACAGCAGAGACTAGCTAGGACATACCCATCCACTGCAAATGATCATACTACCTATCTAGATCGCCATCTTTGACCTAGTCGATATATTTAAGCAGTAGAAGACTGTTGAAGCAGGAAATACGTCAAGCCTCCAGTCTTACATCACACCTCCGCATGGTAAGTGATTAGCTCCTCATGAGGGCAAAAAAATCCTCCTCAAGTACAGAAGATTCACCAAAGTGCAACTCAACCGCGACCTTCAGTTGCAAGTAAGAATAAATTTGCTAACAACTGATACCCTACTTTTACATGCAAGCGAACGAGCTGGATGACCTCTATACCGATCTTGTGTGTTGCTAATGGGGTCATCCGTACGCCTAGCCTTCTAGCTGAATGGACTGCGTAGCACTACACAACACTTAAAGCGGACTCCAGGTCGGAAAGACAATTAGGCTTACCGAGGATCTCTGAGACAGAACGTGAGTACTGTTCGCGTTCACTGGAAAATACAATGAAATTGACCTTCTTGAGGTGCGCCGCACGTTGTTCGTATTCAGCCTCCTTGCTGGAGAAAATGTTCAATCCTGTGCCCTGTGACACAGTCAGGCGAGCTGTAGACGCATTTTGCATATGAAAAGGGAGAAATAAAAAAAACCACGCCTCACAAATGACGACCATATGTAGACGCTGAGAGGCATACAAAAGGGTCAAATAAAGGGTACGGTAGGCAAAATGAGACGCGTGGAGTTTATCGGGAACTCTACGGGAACCATTTCAACGGCAGATCTAACGCTTTAAGCCCCCTTAGTGCTACGATCGTGATTTTCATAGCATATATAGCTTATTATCCTTTTCGAGAATTAAAATGAAACTTATTTTGTTCTTTCTTGGAAAGACAAAGGATAAACGTTGAAGGCAGTCAAAACCAAACTTAATTCAAACCTAACTTCAATTTGACTTTCGATTTATGGCTATAAAAACTATTTATGCAATACATTCATCTTCCCTTAGTGGCTGAATACACAGAGGAGCTCGCCCTTACAGTACGTTGAGAAGGGAATCAAGGCTCTTTCGCGTTTTACCGTAAGAAGGAATGCTATCGATGAAAACGAGTTGAACAAGCACGTGCTCATTGTAGAACAACACCCAGTCCTTAAAACTAATTAGCAAATGAATCTCTCTACGAATCACATTGTTAAGCAGAGGATGTGATATTCAGGGAACCGGACCGAATCCTTACCATGTGACACCACTAATAGATAGCATTCCCCCCATGAGGTCAATCCACTAATACTACCTTTAATTTTATCGAGAGAGTCAATTATGTGTAACAGGCAGTTTCGTTAATTTAGAAGCAGAAGTATGACTACAACAACGCTGAAGATGATGCTCAGAGTGGAATGAGCTTGAGCGGAGAAGATGAAACCTCTTGCCTTGCCACAATTAAAGATTCCTTTCTGACGCCTGTAGACTTCTAGCTGTCTTCTCTGCAACTAATAGAATTTCCTTCACCCGTTCTCACGTAGAATTTGAAGTATTGCACTACCTTTGATGTGGAACGACGTGGTAGAGGAGGGGAAGTTGTTGATGCGACTTAAAACGCCAGACATGCGTAAAGGTGTACTAAATGTTTCTCTATCAGCACCCACAGCATCATGAAAGTCACAACTACAATTTAACAGACAAAAATAATCATTTGGTGCGATTAATCCCCTATAACTTTATATAGGGTGCAGGAACAACACAAGCTAATTAAGATGATGAGCATAAGTACCCACACAATAAGAGTCCTACTGCGGATGGAACTAACGGAAAACGCTAACAGGGTTTCAGAATTCCATCTTTGATGGCACAGGAGCAGGCAAGAAGGAGTTTGATGTACTAGCTGGAATAATATAAGCGCATACGTACTCAGGGCTTCCTTGAAGGTGTTCTTCTCTTGTGTCATTAGATTGTCCACTACAGCGCGCCAACTGTGAAGAGCCAACGCAGAGGCTTGGAAGAAGGTGGAGTCGATAAAGAGCTCGAACACCTCGCGTCTCCAGGCACGACGGGTAAATTGATAAGAGCTCAAAGAGGCCAGTACTTGACTTGCCGCTGTGTAGTGACAGGCGTTGGCGATGCTAGCAAGGAGACAGGAGATGAAGTAATAAGAAAAGCTGCATACTGCGGAGGCCAAATCACATTCAAAGGTGAGAACGGGTGAAAGTATAACCTTCAAGAATTGGAGTGAAAATTAACTAATTACGGCTCGGCAAGTACCTGCAGAGGGGTCTTATCTCAGTGAATGCATGAAAAGCTCCTTAGATCAAGGAATTGACAAATGATTAACTCGGCGATTAACATTCCGAGTTGATTAAATCCACAGCAAGTTAATCCATAGACGGGCAACGGGACAGACTTTCGGCCGTGACGCAAGCAGTAGTTGCCTTTCCAATATAATTGTTAGATAAAAAGGTAATGAAGGAGGAGAGATTTTAGACAGATTTACAAGAAAGTTTTCTCAGAATTTCTTTAAAAATTAACAAAATCAGTGAATGAGGCGACTCAATGTGGTTTGGATATAGAGAGGAATCACCTACAATTCGAAGCAAGTGAACGATCTGAGATAACTAAAAAGTAGTTTTGAACGGTTCACGTTGCGAATTCTTCAGTGAATTTAAAAAGTGCTTACTAAGGACTTACTTATGCGACTTTAAGAAGGGAAGAATGTTGGTGAGAATGCCATTGTTAAGAGCAGACGGAACACGATCCTTCTCATCGCTCTTGTAGACCACATCAAAGAACACCGCCATGTGCTGCACCCAAGAGAGTAAAAATACAGAAGATTGAAAAAGTACAAGCTGTAAGGAATAAGAATGTAAAGTTGGGCTCAGACGCACCTCAGCAAGAATCTTGAGGGCTAAAACAGACAGATCCTCCTTCACGTAGACGGAGTTTGAAGTCGAATCTCGGTTACCTGAAGAGAACAAGACACAGTAAACGGATTATGGTTCCTCTTGCAATATCCATCCAGTATGTGCTCCTTTCAACCACCAAGTCAAGAGGGTTCGCAAACTGCGAGTAATGACGATAACGCCGATTGTGCGGTTTCCAATGGCTTCCCATCATCAACTTGACAATTAGCTGTACTACATTCGTCAGTTTTCGGTGAATGCCTTTCGCCGCTTCTGTGAAGCCATTCTCAGACCACAGACGGAGGTACCTTTTAAGCTGTCATCAAAAATGCTTTAAAGAGGAGTCGCCTGAACCTTAGCCACGTTCGTTTCCACTTCACTAACCCTTTATTAAGTTAATACCGCATGACGCCCTTGCTCTCAAGTGATCTCGTCAACTAGGACACGTCTCATGCCACGAGACCAAATGTCCAGCAGCGCAGAGACAACTGTCCGTTCGGATCATAACTGATGTAACATAAATCCGATTATATCCGCATGCGGAATTCCACTAACTTGCAAAATAAAACATCACAGCGAATTCAACCAGAGGCGAAAAGTGAATTGGGGTAGCAAAACTAGGCGTAAGAAATGCTAGATGTTATAATTCATTAAATGGATGCCGATGTCCCTCTTTCAAGTTCAAATGCATTCAAATCGCTGCAAGTGACCACAACCACATTCAAATTAATTGATTGGTCGGCTAGTACAACGCACTATTCGAAGGAGATTGGGGTGGGACCGGGAAGTTGAGTTCTTCAGTCACGCCTAAAGAGCCAATGCTAACGTGTTAATATCAAAAAATGGTGCACGCCAAGCCTTTCCCAACGCCACCCCCAATGGTTGCATCGAGGATAGGCTTAGTGCGATCAAGCCGTCCGTCGAGAATAAGGTGACAGAAAATAGCAACACTCTTTGCACACAACACACAGTGGTAAAATGCCCTCCTTCTTTTCCAAGAAGACGGGACCAAATTCACACGTGTTTGGGAAAAGCAACTCAGCAGTACAGCATCCTATTAATGTTCACGATATACCAAGTGACAGCAGCAATACCAATACGTAAATGTCAATCAAATTTCAACCACAGTGTAGCAGTTGTGCCTGTGAGCATTTGACCAGCAACGCATGATCTGTCGCACGTCAAAATCCCACAAGGAGCCATTCATTCTATGAGAATGATTATTGCAACACGGTTAATTGGGGGCATTCGTAATTTTAAAAGTTTGAAACACCCTAGGAACTGCGGTGAGCTTCTGGCGTCGGATAGCACAAAGACGTTCAACTAGACATTGTGCTGGGCGATTTGGGAAAGATAGTGGAGTACATTGGCATTCAGACATAACGGTGAAGTTAAGTAAACTGGTTCCATCGTACTGACCAATGCTTCATTGGAGAAACAGCTTTTAGGCATTTGTTAGAGGTTTATGATAGGTTTGTAACTCCTCAAAAGAGACACTTCTGCGCAATGACAAGTTGAAAATCTCCGTTTAACTCAAACGCTCTCGATAAATTATTCGCAAGGGTAACTTTAAGGTATCATTTTAAAAAAAGGCAGCAATCCTTGACTAACCAGAAGAGAGGAGCTCCTGCGAGCCATGAGGCATATTGAATGGTGCATTACCATTGGATCTAATCTCTACCAGAGATGATTCTGAAGCCACGGAATGCATAAAGTCAGATGGACGAAGGCTACCCGGTACATCAGCTGCAGATGTTGATGTTGCTGTGGTGATTGTAGAACGGACCTGGAGACCGCGGCGGAACCAAGTTGCCTGTTCCAATGCTGTACCGGCTATAGAGGCAGTTGTCTCCATCAGACGCTGGCAAACGTCCTGCGAGGAGACCAAGAAACCTTGTGAAGGGATGAGAATAGCTTGATTCTTATCGGCAACTGTGCGCCTTTCTAGCCTCGTGCAGTTACAACGTCACAGTCGATTCTCATTCATATTTTAACTGTCAGAAAATGAAAATTGAGTGTAATTTGACGGTTTCTGGGGTTTTCGTGCATTAAACAGGAACACTTATGCCACATTGGAGTCCTTTATTAACTATTGATAAAAGAATGTCAAGGGTATTGTGAACAGAAGTTTAAGTAAAGAATCGACAAACTTGTAGATCCTTCTGATCCCGTTTTTCGTCCTTATTGGACAGAGTAGTAATGACTTCATTGAAGATTCTACAAGAAGTGCAACAGACAACAACAGTCAACACAGCTTTAGAGAGTTCTAGGACCTGAACTGCTCAACACTTAAGTTTGCATGTTTCGTTTCAGCAGGTAAGTAGAGTAGCTAATCAGTGGAAACAGTAAACTATACCAAAAATCCTTCATCTCGATCAGTAAAGCCTTTTCGCCTCTGAAAGCAAAAGCAAATATCCCTAGCTGCCTCTGTTTACACTTCAAAACAATTTCCCAACTGTTTACTTGCCTCGCATGGGATCGGTAATGAGACTCACTTGGGAAAATATTATCAAGGGAGTGCGATGGAGGATGCGGCGAGACACTTCCTTCCCAGTTAAACTCACTGAATAAAGTGGAAAAGCTCGAGTCCTGCTAGCCGGACTCGTTCACCCGACTAGGCAATACAAAAGATGCCTATACAGGGAGAACAGCGAAGGCCACAGTAAGGACCAAACCACCAATGCAAGTGTACTTACCTGCCAATGCCTTATAATACATGCAAACAACGCTGCTGTAAACCATCTCACAAACCACACAATCTCTTCTGCCGTTCAGAACAATAGGACCACAAATCAAGCAATGTCCTTATCAAGGAGTTCCATACGCCCAGAGATAGAGGAGCTTGAGAAACGTTAAGCAGGCGTACATAGCGATCAAAAGGACAACAAATAAATAACCGAGTTTAACTTCCTTGCAGTTGGCTTCTTTTATACACTAAGCCTTATATTAGTGTTCCCGCAGACCACACAGAATATCACTTGCGAGGGAACCTAAGGAGATGCTCAAAATGAAAGGGAAATCGACTGGCGTAGCACAACCACAGGAGATTAATCAAGGTGACAGGCGGTTCAAAGCTTGACACCAATATTACTAATTTCCTGCGCTTTCTGCCCTAATTTATGACGCATGCACATTGCAATGCCTCCAAAGTAGGCTCAAAGTCAAAGCCGTGCGAAAAAGGGAAGCTGTCATTAGCAAGTATGTCCTAAACCCAATCTTTAATTCAACCGCGTACATCCTGAGCTACACCGATCCGATACCATCCGAGGTAAGGAAGCAATTACTACAGTAAATAGCAACTGGAACATTTGCCTAGATGACAGCTGTCTCAAAATGACCTAAATAAATCTGGCATCAAGAGCCATTGAAATAAAAACTTTACCATTGTGTAGAAATCCCAACCCCATGATTTGCGACAAGCAGAATTGTATGAATAACGATTAACAATTCCTACCCCACATTTTGACACTTTTCACAGGGGAAATTGCGATCTCAATAATATTCCGTAGAACGGCGTACTTACTTAACCAATACGAAAACGGCGATGGGTGAAGTGATGGCAGTACCCAGGCTGGAAGTGGTTGAAATTGCAGCTGAGATTGATGTCAGAGGAGCAACGTCGCGCAAGAAATCCTGAATATTTGCCGATTGGAAGGAGCCACACCCAATCCCACCTGTAGTGACTATCCATACGTACAAGAAATGTAATAACGACGACTGCATAATCTGCGGAGGCAGAGTTCCCTTAAAAAAATATGTTACTTATTAGTTATGAATAGCAGAATCAGCGAATAGATTTGAAAAGTAAACATCATAGAGTGACTTACCTCAACCGACAAAGATGTCAGAGCCTCACTGTGGGCCAGATCCAGGGCAAAAGCTAGTGCTAAAGAAGCCGGTGGCGATCGCAATAGATTTCGAAGGGTTTTCACAGCTTGGCCTGGCCTTAGCAGCCCCACTGGTTGCTCTGGTTTGCCGGGGTCGATAGAGAGAGTAACGTAGCTTCCGTTTCTATTCCCACACTCCTGGAAGCCCCGAAATGAACCACTAACGAGACTAACAAGGGCACATTGACGCGGAGTCAGTGGAAGACCTAGAAAGGGGACATTAAAGTGAGGCTAGGCTTGCAGGGACGGGGAGGAATAAAGCATAAGTTGACACTGGCGACACGGTATCCCGCTTCTTCCAAACTAAAAGTCGCCTAGATCGTCTATCATTTCGTAACAGAGCTGCTTTCTATCTTTGAGTTAATAAATAGCATCACCATTTACTCAAACTACTCATTGATTAAAAGTAGAAAACGCAAACGTGAAATGTACACAGGGAGCAAAGCCACTTCAGCAAGTCACAAAATACTTTTTACTTAACGGCCAAAGTAGCAAAAAACACCAAATGGGTGAACTAGCTGAAACAAACCTGTGGAGGAAGGGGAAAGTAGCCACATGAGGTCACTACTACCACCCAAGCCACTGTTCGCTCCACCAGGAGGCGGCCAGACATAAGCCAAGGCAGCGAAAAAGAGGTTGGGATGGGTAAGAGCTATTGGCTCCAGGAAGTTGTCGATCGCTCGACGCACCACCTCAGGATGACCGAGAGCGGTAAGGGCTGGTAGACGATCGAAGCCACAACGAAGGTGAGCCGAATCTGTGCCGCTTTGAGAAGTAGTACTGCTGCCTGAAAGAGAATGGAAGCAGCCAAACTGTCTGCTATTGCATCAAGATGGTGTATGTCTATTAAATCAAAATGAGAAACGCTTCTTCAACAAATACGCTGAATATAAGTGCGTAGCGTTTGTTACCTAGATGGCCGAACATAATAATTCCTCAACGGTGGGTATTTTACGCTACTGGCTCAATAGGAGTCGCTTGCTATGATGAAGTGGAGCGAGAAACGACTGTCAGGTCACTGTAATAAGTTTGTCGATTAAATTGCATTACTTCTCCGAAGCATCAACAACTCGGCGTTTTAGTCGAAAAAAAACCTTAGCTGAGGTCCCTTGAATTAACTGAGTATAACATAGGACCCATACCTGTCAACCAATAACTAAACACAGTTTAACACCTTGGTAAAGATAAACTAGGCCAAACACCAAGAAAGTTCAATGAACAAAGATGAACTAAAATCCAACCCTTTCGTGAGTCAATGCATCTCTCAGGGTTCGTGAAAGCGACACGTAATCCTCCCAAATAAATCGCTTGTGTCATTTAACCGAACTCATTGAAATTAAAGCTTTCGGTGTACTTAAGCGATTAGGCCGAGTTTAGCAACCTAGCAGATGAAAATTTCCCTCACCACTGACCTAGGGAGTGCAAAGCGTCATATCAAATCACTGCATCATTCATTTAAATCGCTAATTTTTACATTGTACAAGCAAAAAGGTGACAAGGATCGAAGATCAGCAAATGGATTTGTCTTACCTAGTCTGCATTCCGCTAAGGTAGGAGCAATCCACAACATTCCTATCATTTCTCCAACTATTGCAGTACAAGTTGCAAGCTTCCTAATATTAAGGGCCGTGAAAGGTTCAAGGGGTGTACAAGAGCGACCTTATTTAAATATTGTATTTTGGCAGACATATTCATCTGCAATGGTGGTAATAACAACTTCATGTGAGTGGACCTCACATTGGTAAAAATACGTCTTAAACACAAAACCACCTTCAGACGTAAACGAAGTGTTGTACTGGTGGTTGTGATGGCGGAGCGCGTTCAAAAGAACACACATTTCGACTTCAGTATTTGGATGGTGCACCGAAATATCATAACAAGAACGAATTACTAATGGATGACCGAAAGTGAAGGAATTTGAAACACAAGGATTGTAGAATGCGCAATAAGTTTCAGCCAGCACTCAAATCAGGTCTTGCATACTCATTTACAATAAGAAAAACAGTAAATATGAGTGGTTTGAGAGCCTGAAATATGAACACTGTCGGGAGACTGCATGTTGGAGAAGAGTAGATGACAGATTGAATGTGAGGTTGCTCGTGATATGATATTCATGAAGTGATTATATCTTCGTGTATCATTTTCAAGGGACCAGTAATGAAAAAGGAGGCTTACACAACGCATCAATACCGGTCTCAAATGAGGCTTTAAGATCGCCACCCGAAGAAGTCGAAGGTAAGGAGATGGCAAAATTACAAGATTGGTTCAGAGCCAACCAGACTGTGGCGAGGCTAGCAAGGATAGTTGGGAAAACGTAACAAGTCTCAGCGCGTGCTCTCGCCCAACATTGGGCTAAATCGTCGGAGTCAGGCATAACTTCTGTGCCTAGCAGGTCCTGTAGGGCGCAAAAAACGAAAATTATGATGAAGATCGGTGCTACAGCCAACAAATTCACTTATCTCAACGGCTAGACCCGTCACCTCACAAGGACAGCATTTAGTTTTCCTGTCAGACTGTTACCACGATGCAAATTCATCATGATGTATCCGTCTCTACTGCATATTAGTTTCATAAAATCGGATTTCTTACCCTCCTGGAGTAGAAGCCAGATTTTGGTAAACACTACAGAACTGGTGTTAAAAAACCTTGAGGATTCAAACGACTGCGTTCCCCATGCTAGACATACCTGGACAGACGAGTAAGGTCATCAAGAATTAGGGTCAATTTTGAAGTACCACTACCAAAATCGCAAACCAGATTAGTTTTCTATTTTCTCCGCACTTGACCCTATGCATGTTCCACTGTCACATCACAGTTCGCTCAAAAAATCTGTGCTAAGTTTGACAGGGATTCCTTGCAGCCCTAGAGCTCGGTTTAAATTCGTACGGAGACTGGAAGCAAGGGAATCATAAGAAGAGACACTGTTCATTGTCATTTTATACTCAAGGCGTAAAGTTTTGAGGGTACTGAGGTTTATAGAGTCATGGATTTACCCGCTTCTTCAAAAATGTGAGACAGTTATACTTAAAAGTTAGAAAGTTGTAACAGACCTTTGACGTGAAAATAAAAGGTATCTGGAGGGCGGAGGATGGTGACTCGCTCCCCAGGGAGGCCCGCTGCATACGGTGAAGTAGAGGACCTAGGGGTCCGAAATCAAAATTCCGTTGATTTTGTACATGAAAGGCTCTCAGTACCTCCGCGACCCGGATGGAATCCCGAAGCACCTCCGGTGTTTCACAGCCAATGAATGAGGGACATGTACCTAGAAAAAGGTAGAAGGTAGCTTGAATGAAGCGAAGAGAATACTATCGTGGTGATGGATGTTGAGCATGTCGCATTCCACAAAAAGAATCGCTGTGAGCCGGTGCTGCCCAGATAGCGCTATTTGAGGCAAGGCAACGGGCAACGGCGATGCCATGTGCAGGCAGGCAGCGGCGAGGTGCAAACGAAGATGAAACATTTCCCTTAAACGCACGATTCATAGACTTAGGAGTTCCCTTATCCATTCAATGAGGGAACATTTCAAAGATGGCCTTACATCTGAACATCGATGACAACCTCGATTACAACGGTGTCAAATTTTCCACTCCAAAACATTAGAAGTGTGCTTTCCGGGACCATTCGACCAGAAGCAACATAAGCTCTTTTAAAATGACACTCCTCTGGGACAACCCAACAATGAGATGAGTATAAAAACACGGCAGCTAGAGATTAGGAAAGGAACCTCGATCTCAAATCGTTCCATATGCTATTACGTAAACTCTGAATTGTTTGTACAATTTAAACGTCACTTGGATTTTAAAGGCAAAAGTGGCTAGCGTATAAAAATGGAGTCTATTTTAAAGCATTAAAGCTCATTTTCAAATATGAAGTTCTTCGAGCGAGGGAGAAATAACGGCTCACTTTTAAAGTTAGACGATAAATTGCATGAATGTTTTCTACGATGAGTAGGCGAGTGTCTAGTGAAAGGAGGCGACCAATTGCGAGCAAAAGCGGTGGCACCCAGTGTCATTCCATGCAAAAGATTAAATTTCGACTGGCCGAAAGGAAGGAGGAAGGTGTGAGTGATACCACGCAGACAATCAAGAAGTTGTAGAGTGTAGTCAGCGGGGTAGTCTGATGTTGAGGGCGTTCGTCCATTCACTCTGTCGAGGAAGATGAAAAGCCCAACAATAGCAATCTGGCTTCCAATTCGAGTATGTAATTAAAGGAAGATAAACACTGCTGCCAGATAAATAGTAGGGTAAATGGAAATATTTTTGACAACAGAATTAAAAGAAGTAGTACATCAACTCCTGCATTGCCACTAAAGATGAATGAACCGAATAAAACGGCGAAATCTGGGGCTCCAAGGGGAGGATTACGGAGAAACACAAAAGTATGCATGTTTAAAAAAGGGTTTTCGCAATTTTGTCGCTTGGATAATGTAAAAAAGGCACTAACAAGTGCTGCAGCTGAGGGATTCAGAACAGATGTGTAGAGTCGCCAACAGTGGGGACAAAGTTGTGAAAGTAACACGATTTATGAGAAGAATGACCAACACGCTACCTATGATCAAGAATTAAGCAAAGTTCACACTGTGAAGGCGTCTTGTCACTGCCTTAAAATAAATTTCAATGACCTGATGGTGCCTTATAGCATCAACAAATGATTGTATAGTAACACACCTCGCAGGCAGCATGGTGTAACAGAAGGGCTCCGCAAGCATCTGCAAAATCACAGACATCTGTGAAGCCACCAGATTGATCAATAGGGCAGTCGCCGGGCCCCAGTAAACCAAACTCTCTCGCAGAAAAGTAAACCACAGAGGATGCAGATCAACACGAGCTGTGGGGCACAGTCCCAGTCGCAGAGTGTTCAACAACAGTACCTGTGTGGCAACATGGCGTGAACGTGGGTGCGTGGTGGATGAATCAGATCCGAGGAAGTGGGATGTGAGGACGGCAAGAAGCGTTGGTGAAGGAGTGAGAGTGGTTAAGCTTCTCAGAGTCGAATCAAGAATAGGAATTTGTGACGGACACCAAGGAAGGGCTCCAGAAAAGTGAACGCGTGGTGGGGCGGAGGAAGGTTGGTTGGTTGATTTCTTTGAAGCAGTCTTGGTGGCTGTGGGAGGAGTTTTGTTTGAGCGATTGCTAGACGGTGCATTGAGAGGAGGAGATTTTTTCAGCGACAAGTCACGTGGAGCTGTGAGCTGAAGTAGATGGCGAGTGATTTGGAGGAGACACGACAATTCGGCCAAACTCTCAGTGCTATCGTTGTATTTCAAGAGACGTAGACAAAGTGGCAGACTCGCATCATCTACCGTGTTGAGGCTGTGGAGATAAAAATTAAAAGTAAAAGAATCACCATTAAAGCAAAAGAAGATAACATTATGGAGGTAATCATGACGTTGCCTTGAGCGCTGGAAACTCAAGCCAACGAACCTGTCATAGATGTGCGTAAGCTCGGTAGACGTAGCAAGACAATGAAGAACAGCTTGTGACAGGCCCGACCTCTGAATCACCGCGTCAATCCACGACGAACCTGAGTCATAAAGTATGGCGACAAGTGCCGTCATTCCAGTTTCGTCTTTTTGAGTATCCAACGTCAACTTTCCCGCCTCCGAAGAAGCAAAAATGGCAGCAAGGTGGAGCAGTTTCTGCAAAAGTAAAAGAGGAGAAAGTATAGCATTTGGACCAGTTCTGGATTTCTGGCCTTATGGATTGAGACTAGCAATGGAACCCATTCCAGGTAGCACAATCTGCAACAATGTTGACGTATTTTCCTACCGAATTTGTGCACATGTCCCAGAGTTTGAAATATTACTACAGGTTTCTACAAACAATTATTTTATCCACCATTTTAATGACAAAAGTTTGTCGAACGATTTTTCATCAGGCAGTGTTTATGTGCTGACTAGGTGCCCTGGAACAGGAGGTTTGCATACGAATAAACGTTAGAAACTGCTGACTGGGAAAGGCATCGGAAGATGGGGATACAACCACTCCATCACAATG